TTCAACTTTTGTGGTTTCCCTTTTAGGAAAGACACAAAAGAAAAGGTTTTCAAGCTATTTATGAATGGATTCATCAATGAATACCCAAGCTAGGGAAAAATCTCATAATTAGGATCATGGTGGGTAGTTCCTTTGTTAGCACATGACTTTAAAAAGGGAACAAATTATTCAATTAACCAGGCACACAATTAAGGGTGGGTTTGCCTTCTTGGGTCTCTGTCAAAGCTTTGATCTGTAATTTCAGCTGACTATATGTAAATGGACAACTTAGTGTAAATGATTACAGATACAGTTGAGGGTTTTGAGTTGCCTGGGAGTTTCTGGCTACCTACTAAAGTTACCCTTTACTATTCCAGTTCGTAGTATGTCACATGTCATCCTCCTCTAGTCTTGATCCCTCCATAGCATAGACTATTCTTCTCTGATCATGAATTTTTTTTTACTATAATAGAACAACGTGCCATTTGGAAAAGTACATGACTGCTGTTTTGACTATTCTCGGACTAACATAATAGTAGTGGATCACCCACCATCTATTAACGATGGAATTCACTAGCAAACACAAATTTCACTTAAATTCATGGTAAGTAATTCACCAAAGAAAAACACTGAAGGTCGAGATCTTACTCCAAAATTTGCTCACTTATGTGCTAACTAGACGAGATCTCAAAACTCTCGGGATGAGTTAATGAAAATTGGCTGGCATAATTGTCAAAGCAAAGCGATTTTGGGTCAACATTCAAGTCTAAGAACCTGTCTTTCCAAAATGAAAATACGACCAACTGTCATTTACCTCTCCCAAATTCCAATATTAGTGAGAGATTTGTGGCTGCTCCAACCAAATTGGACTCCTCCTTTACAAGTAAAATCAAGACTATTCTTCACATAATCATTCTCCTACAAAAGGTCAAACACGGTATGATAGAAACAAGAAGTTCTATTGCAAAGTTTAGGAATGCTCCACATGCTCCCATCAACTTGGGCACATAGCTCCATAAAAGTAAGATCGGGACTATCCTTCACAAGATGCCTCCTCCAAACTGCATCACCCCCCCCCCCCCCCCCAACCACCCCCCGCTTTTCTCCCCTCAAAACCCAAAAAAAAAAGGGAAAAAGGAAAAAAAAAGGCATAAGTCTTCTCTTCGACAACAATGGCCCTCATGTCACTTTATCAAACTACATGTCTAATTTGCCCGGTTCGACTTAATTCAAGATTTCAAACAGAAGTTGAAAGAATTCCTATGGATTTCTTTTCTTGCTATATTGCTATCAAGGCCTTCAGGTGGAAAACGATTTGTCAGCCTGACCCCGAGCAAATGCATTACAATCCACCAAAAATTTCAATTCAAGATATCAAGGAATATCAAAAGCCAATTTCACAAAAAATTTAAGTGGTATATAGGAACATTAATAAAGAATACAACTACTTATCTCTATGGCAAAACATGCTTCACTGTTCTTCTCAATGAAAGCAAATGACCTTTGTTTCCTATTTTATCCTCTTCTCCAATGTTTGGTGAGGCTCGAATCACAGTGTACGCAACCCAAAGTGTTCTGAATTTGTTCCTTGGATTAGTAACACAGGGAAACACCAACAGACTATTAAATGGGGACACTGCCGATTCCTGCAAGCAAAGACAGGACTCTGGTTTAGGAAGTAGCAGTTAGCAGCTTCGACAAAATCATTGTACACATTAGACACTACATGGCAAAATCTACTTTGTCATCCACTTGAATGAAAAGAGGAGGAACGAGCAGGGGTGTTGGGATAGGATGAGCAAGAAAGAGAGATACACTTTGTTTGTCGAACATAATGAGGTAACTTACCTTTGTGTTTCAATCATTGTACACATTAGATACTACATGGCAAAATCTACTTTGTCATCCACTTGAATGAAAAAAGGCGGAACGAGCAGGGGTGTTGGGATAGGATGAGCAAGAAAGAGAGATACACTTTGTTTGTTGAACATAATGAGGTAACTTACCTTTGTGTTTCAATCTATATCCGACTTATATCCCGGCCAAATACAAAAGTTGTGGCCCAGTTGATTGCCACATAGAATCTGTTCCTCCAGCTTATTACACGTGTGAGATATGCCGATCGCCAAATGAACCAGCTAGTAAATCCTGCCAGAGCGAGCCCTTTTGCTTCCTGTAAAAGATGCTTTACAAATAAGCAACCCATTTAAAGTGTCTACAGTTTAAGAGAAAAGCAACGATGTGGCATAATATCACCTTGCTCTGCCTAAGGTCCACTAGAGCCTTGTATCTTCCAATTGTTGCCATGCTCCCCAAATGCTTATAGACAAAGGGATCCCCGGGTTCCATGCCTTTTGCTGCATTAGCATGACCGCCACCAGCTTCACCAATCCTGCTCAATTGTTTGGCTAGATATTTCCCCTGACGCTCTGCAACCTGTTTTAACACCCCAAATGGAAGTATCTTTAGAGCCAGAAGACTATCAGAGTAGCAGCTCCGAATTGTGTCAAGTCAGTGAATACTGAATAGTTATCCTACAAACTGCTGGTACTAGTCCTTTAATTGTCACACATTTGAAATCAGACATGTATAGATCAAGCATGTGGCAAACAAAATTATCTAACAGGAACTTTCAACTTTTGGAGTGATAGATGACATTAATCAATTCAGAATAGGCCCCTAAATCGTAATCTATCTGCAGTAAGGATAGCAACATCATACAACCAAGTGTTGCAAATTATGAGTAAACTGATTGCAAATTCAAACATCATAGTACTTTCCTTCAATGGGGATAAGCAAACACACAAAAATCAAATTGGACACAATACAGCTCATTTGACAGCAATAACAGCTTGAATGACCCATATCTTGAAATTTTAAAACTCCGAAAGTTTAAAAACTGGACAATATGAGAGTTGAATCTCCCCACAACTTACCTGCGCCAAAGCAGGAAGAACTGGTTTTCCCGTACTTTCCAGAAACCCACAGCAGTCACCAATAGAGAACACATCCTGCACAGAAGGGATGCGTAGCCACTCATCAACACCAATCCTGTAAGCACAAGGAGTCTCATCAACACCCTTCCAGTAAATTGAACTAAAAAATTCATAAATAACCACAGAGCAAAGACTCGTTAGGAACAATTTCAGAAATGGAAAATGCAGACAAGCACAAGTAATTAAGATGCAATGTCCTAAAAGATAGAAGCAGTAATGAAGCAATCCTATCAAGTTAAATGAAAACTTAAAAAAGAACCATAACAAGCTCAGAAGGAATAAGAAACAAGAAAAAGAAACAAACGAATAAGTATTTATGGTCTAGGCATTTCACACACACATCTCTAATGTTTTCTTAATTTGCCACCATGTCCTCTTAGTCACCACAAGAAGTTTAAATTCAGCAATAAATGGCAGACACTAAGAAGATAGGCAGTTTAGTTTTCAACACAACATAAAGAACTTACCTTCCAGAGGGAGATTTTGGAACTTCTAGAGAATTCACAAAACCTGAGGGACCAACGCCTGTAGACCACACTAACAGGCCATATGGAACATCTGTGCCATCAGTCAGAATTATCTTCCGCGGTTGAACATCCTTGACAATGCCACGGACAAGACGAACTCCCGACTGAGAGAAACTAATAGATTAAAAAAGGAAAGGTCCAGACATTATAGGGGAAAACTATCAGAACATGTTGTAACATAAATGACAGATATAACTGCAATTAGATGTGCCTTTGATGTTCAGGCAGATGAGCAAGAACCTTGAGACATAGTGCAAATGTACAGCAACCCCCGCACCACCCACAAGCCCCCCAAAATCCTAAAAATATCAACAGTACCAAAAATGGAAAAAAGGAAAAACTCTGAAAACTCACAGTAGGATTGGGTGTTGGGGTGGGGGGTTTTGGGTGCTAAAATGAAGAACAGAAGAATTCAAAATGGCTCAATAATCATCACATCAGCATATAGATCACCTAAATATCATCATATCAACCAAGCCATGTGTTTGAGGACATAATATATTTTGCAAAGCCCTATGGAAACCATCGTAAAGCAGGCATATGAATGGCTTTGAGGCACATTAGCGGGTTGGTCGTGTATTACCAGAATCCCAGAAATCGAGTGATGGCTGTGTGTAAAATATCATAGCATTGTACATATCAGTGAGGTTATAAGATTTGTTTCCCAATTTTGCGATCAGGAAATGTGAGGTTGTAGAGATGAGCAGAGAACCCCCTTGTATATTGCCTTTAGTATGTCGTCCTTGTAAGAAAACATTTGGAGGAGAACTAATACTCTATGGTTTGCTGGCATGAAAAGATGCTTTATATAGGACATTCAAACTCCAAACATGACAAGATCCTTCCATGTGATAGTAAGCAGTAAACATGACCAGATCCTTCCATGTGAAAGTATGCAGTAAAAATGAACATAAACAAAGGTTGAGCAAGGAATGATAACGACATCTTCAAAATTTTTGATATGGTGAACAATATCTTCAGATTAAGTCATTATCTCTCACCTTGGTTAGCTGCTTAGTCGCATATTGCCGAAGGCGATCGTCAAAGGAAGATAATATCTCATTTGCCTGTAAAAAACAACATTTTGATTAATGATAACTTCAATAACACATATTGATCAAGTCAGACACGAGTGTTCATCACAATAAAATTGGCCTAAAGGAAACTGAAAATTTTGGCTGGCCTAGTGCATATGCAGGCAAAGCATGAACTCTAGTCGGAATCATGCAGAGGAATAGAGATGTATCAAGAGATCAATATGAAATATCAGATACCAAAATTTTGGTTAGCTAACCTCAATCAATGTAACACGGATATAATCTTTCACGTGGGCATATCTTTGATGAACATCCCTAGTGATAAAATCACTAAGTTCACCACTGAACTCGACTCCAGTTGGACCGCCACCAACAACAACGCAGTGAAGTAGTCTAAGCTTTTCTTCATCACTGACCCCTACGCCAACCCATATCCAACAGAGTATTTCAAAGTTAGAACATACTCATACATTCCATTTGCCACAGATTCACTATCTCAGAAGCATACCAGGCACATCCGACAGCATCAAGTTTAATAGTAACTTCCTCCGGATTTCTTGAGCATGATGAACTTCACGGAGAAAAATTGCGTGCTCCTTCACACCCTTTATCCCGAAAGTAGAAGCCTGTGCTCCAGATGCGATGACTAACTTATCATATGAAAGTTTGAAGCTCCATGGGTCTGGGATATCTACTCCATCAGTCACAGTTTGGCAGTGCACCTTGTATAACATTATCAAATTGCTTAGATTACGCCATTACTAGTCGATTACGCACAACTCAACAAAGCCTTTCAACTCTAAAGTTACTTTGCTACATTTCGAAGTACTATATACTCCTTTGGGGCCCAACTTTGTTTTGGTTTGGGATCTCACTAGCAAAATAGATGCCCACCATATTATACTTTATAATTTATCTATATAATTTACAGGCAAATGAGATCCCAAACTTTTTTTGGCTAGATCTACGAAATTAGTGTTTTTTTTATGATAAATCATTCAAGATTCAATCTTTTTGGGTCCTTTTCTTTCCAAATATTTCTCACCAACCAAACAGAATTTCTTACATTAATATTAACAAGGACAAAATCGGCGTACCGCATGGTTCTGAAAATCCACGCCGGTGCAATTAGCTAGGAAGAAATAAGAACCGGGTTCCCGCGATATCGCCGGTTGAATTCTTCCGATGGGTTCAGCGACGGACCGAAATTCAAGAGTGCCCACGCAAGTAGAAGCCAACAGGGGGGTGAACACCATGTGATTCCTCGGTGAAACGCATACGACGTCGTACATCTTCGTATCAATGTCCTTTATAAGTCTACACCCAGCCCAGCCCGAGCCCAACACCACCACCCTGGGCTTCTCGTCGCCTTTCGTCGGCCCCAAACCGCCTTGCCTGGTGGCGGCCGATTCGGACTCTGTGCTAAACTGCAATAATTGGGTTAGCGAAGGTGAGACTATGGATGTAGTGGGTTTGAGTGGCGATCGTTTAATGGTGGAGAGTTGGATTAGATTTCTAAACCAAGACATCTTGCGAAGATCACTGTTTTATTATCTCTCAACGAATGCTTTTTCCTCTATGAAACGAAGAACAGAGTAAGTGTCAATTATTTGAGGGTTCAATCGAATCTGCTAAATTGTGGGAGTGGAGAAGAGATCGATGGTGACACTGACACCCAGTAGAGACCGGTGGCAACTTGATTGATAATGGTCCATCCTCCATCGTATATTTTTGGATAAATAACGGTTTGATCCAAGATTCTAACATAGTAACATATACTCGATTTATTTATGAAAATTATAAATTATAAATTATACTATAAATATGTCACAAAAGTAGCTCAAAAACTAGCTGCTGTTTGTGCCATTTACAAAATAGTAGCTGCTTTTTGGGTGTAAAATGGACAGTAGAATCACGTGTAAAACAGTTAGTGGATCAAATTTAATTTGTATCTAATTTCAATTAGTTGAATACCTATATAATAAATTAGTTAGGAGTTTAAATGTTTATCCTTCATTTTTTTTTTCAAATCCATCACTTCTCGTTCATTTTACCGGCACCATTTTCACTTTCAGAGGTGTCAGATGCAATGCCGCCTCTCTCCTTTGTCCCTTTTTCTTCTTTATTTTTGTTTCATCTCTCTCTCTCCCTCCGTGTTATTGCCAGCGCCAATCACATCGTTATAGCTACCACCACACCCCTCCCAAATATTTCTCCCTCTTTCACACAGACACACGTAAACCCTCCCCCTAGCTCCCCTTATGTGAAACCCCCCCCTCTTACCCCTCTACAAAACCCACCCCCCAAAAATAATACCCACAGATGAGTATCAAGCTTTCATTTTGTGCATTAAAATCAACATGCGCCACCTGTTTGACGATTTGTGTCAAAGAAACACACATAGAGACACCTCTTTGTTAACCCACATATGACGTGTATTTTGATTATGAGTTTGGACATTTTGAGGGATAAAATTGTATTTTCTATGTCATCTGTGTGTTTTCTTTTGGTTATTGCATACCCGAGTTATTAATATTTTGTAGTTGTAAGCTTTACTTCTTTCATGGTATATACAGGTTAAAGAATTAATATAGGCAATTTATTAGCTAATTTATATTTTTTGTACTTTACCTTTTATCAAATTGATATGATACGATGGTTGAATATTTTGTATTGGACTTTATTTGCACACACAAGTGTTTATATTGCTACAATGGTTGAATATTTCTTTTTTGTTAAGGTTGGACCGGTGTGATGATGAGTCCAGTATTTAAATTTGGGTATAAATTGTAACATTAGTAATTGTCTATACAGGTTGATATTTTTGTGGGGCCCTATTTTTAGGGGAAATTTTGATCCAATTTTTTTTAAGAATGTAACACCCCAAAAATCGGGGGTCCTTAATTTAACAAAATTAGGGCAGAGTCTCTTTTATACGGGGAGTTCTACCCAAAATACAACCTGTGTAATTATTCTACATTGACCACACCGGGTCTATTTACCCATCAAATAATAAAATTTCATTCACCACATGTAATATCCACCATATTATCCCAAAAGAATAGGCCAAGCTATGATACTTACATTCCAAAAGAATTACACTAAAATTTAGACTATACATGATTGTAAGTAAATTCCTTAGTCTAGCACAAAAATAAACTATAATTCTAGATGTTCACCTCGGGATCTAGGTTCCCCTCTGGTGAAACCTCCCAATTTTCTGGTTCGTCAACGTTGAGATCTTCCTCTAACACGAAATCTAAAAACAAATATTATTGGTAGGGGGTGAGCTCTACGCACTGTAGGAAAATCCTCCCAAACTTTAACAAGGTTTGGAAAAGGTAGACAATGGTCGGTCTTATTTCACAAATACCATACATAAATTTTAAAAGAAAACATGACATTTTCAAAAATCTCAAGTTTATACATTAACAATAATTAAGTGCAAGAGTAAAGTCAATCCCACCATAAATAACCATTTCAAAAAGTAATTATTCCCACAATAATTTCTAAGATAATCATATCCAAAAGATAACGCAATAAACAATAATCACAATGTATCTCAAGTCTGATGTAAGATAATCGCATGAATAAACACATAGAGAATATCCTGGCCCACACACACACAATTCTTGCAAGGATAACAACTTTGGGAAGGGCGCCTACTGATGCATTATCCCATACCAATGCACCGGTAATAACGAATCCGACCCAGGCATAGTATACTAATCCTTTGACACGGCATCCGTGAGCTAATAGTGGTTTCGTCCTCGCAAGACACCAATCCCACTACGAATTGTAGGAAAAGTTGAAACCCACACGGAGTAAGAACCACACACATCTACCCACTCTACGATACCTGATTAATGGCCACTCATGGTCATCCAAACACCTCCATGAGATACAATCACCAACAATTTCTCAAACACACTCAATTCCATAAATCCCCAATTTTTCACATCCAAATCCACATTTATTTTATAATGGAATAATTTAAGAAAAATTAACAAGAGATCATCATAAATACCATTGTGTTGTTCAATACGAAATACTAAAGTTTTGAAATCAAGAATAAAGGAGAAATCAAGAGAAAAACCCATTTCTCTTGAAATCTAGGGTTTTGAATATGAGAAAATAACTTTTATAGTTACCCAACTATTCCATTGTTTAAAACATCCTCACATTTGCAAAAATATCAAAAATTCATGATTTCATAGCATATTAATATGATGTAGAGTCAAAGAAAACATATATGTATAACCCTAGTTTCAATGTAAGAGAATGGAAGAAAACCCCTACTTGAATCAAATTTTCAAGTAAGAACCCAAGCTCTAGTCTTCCCTTTTCTTCCTTCCTTAATCTTCCTCTAAGGTTCCAAGAGGTGTGGGGTGAGAGTGAAATGAAAAGAATGAGAGTAAATGGGATGAAAATAGATTTTTAAACACAACAGCCCCGATTTTTACTGTTCACAGGCTGATTTGATTTTTTTTCCAAAATTACGATTTTGCCACTAAGAATCTCAAATTTGATCTATATGACTACCATAAGGTTTTTCGACGTTCCGGATTCATTTTTAATGTTATTTTAACCTAAAAACATTTATTTTTATAAGTTATCTCAAAACTAAAATAAATTTACACTCGAAACACGAAAATTACTATTTTATTCATTCGAACCGCTATATGTGCTAAAAGGCTATTTTAAGTTTTTTTTCGGATCTCCCAAGTTCAATGATAATATTATTTTGACCTAAAAAAATTTATTTTTTTACTTAGTTACCCTTATCAACCTTAAACACCTCCAAAAATTAAATTTCACAATTAATTTGCCTCCCTAGTATTTATTTATACTATTAAAATCTATAAGGTTCATGCATACTTTATCACCTAGATTAGCATTTTAAAAATAATTACTTGCTATATAAAGATAAGAGTGTGGGGGTTTATAATCCACCCCCTTAAAGAAAGTTTCGTCCTCGAAACTTACCTTAAGTAGATAACAGATGAGGGTACTTCTCTTGCATCTCTAACTCTGGTTCCCAAGTAGCTTCCTCCACGCCATGGTGTTATCACAAAATCTTCACTAATTTGATGACTTTATTACGGAGCACCTTCTCTTTGGTATCAAGAATCTTCACTGGTTGTTCTTCATAGGTGGCTCCATCTTGAACTTCAATATCCTCCAAATCTATAACATGCGTGGTCTCCGAATAACACTTCCTCAACATCGACACATGAAACACGTCGTGTACTCCGGATAACTGAGCTGGTAATCAAAGTTGGTACGCCGCTTTACCCATCGCTTTAATCACTTCAAATGGTCTTATGTACCTTGGAGCTAACTTTCTCTTCTTGCCAAATTGCAATACTCCGTTCTTGGGTGATACTTTAAGAAACACGTAATCTCCCACCTTGAATTCCAAGGGTCTTTGTCTTTGATCCGCATAGCTTTTCTGTCGACTTTGTGCTGTGCGTAATCTCTCTCGGATGAATTGAATTTTCTCTGTAGTTTCTCGAACAATTTTCGGCCTAAACAAGCTACTCTTGCCAGCTTCCAACCAACAAGTTGGGGACCTACATGGTCTTCCATATAACGCCTCATATGGTGCCATCCCAATACTTGCCTGATAGCTGTTGTTGTATGCAAATTTCACCAACGAAAAATGATCGCTCCAACCTCCCTTGAAGTCCAACACACAAGCACGTAACATGTCTTTTAGAATCTGGATCACCCTCTCGGATTGACCATCCGTTTGGGGATGAAAGGCTGTGCTGAAATGCAACTCTATCCCCATAGCTCTTTGAAGACTTTGCCAAAATTGTGCTACGAAACGAGAATCACGATATGACACAATGGATAGTGGAACTCCATACAATCTCACTATCTCACAAATATAGAGCTTGCTCAAGGTCTCTGATGTGTTGGTGATCTTCATACTCAAGAAGTGAGTGGACTTGGTAAGTCTATCAACAATGACCCATACAACATTATGCCCTCGTGAAGTCCATGGAAAGCCAGATATGAAGTCCATGGTGATGTGATCCCACTTCCACTCGGGAATAGGCAAGGACTGTAATAATCCTCTGGGTTTTTGATGCTCAATCTTCACTTGCTGACATACCACACATTTTGAAACGTATCTAGCCACATCCTTCTTCATTCCCTTCCACCAATACTGTCGTTTCATGTCTCTATACATTTTGGTACTATCCAGTTGTATGGAGAACTTGGAACAATGGCACTCGCCCAACACTTTTTTCCGTACTTGGTCATGATCGGGTACACATAGCCTTCCTCGAGACCATAACTCATCATCACTTATCGTCCAATCCTCAACAATCTCACTTCTCTCCAACTTACTCCGGGTAGCCTCCAACTCGCTGTCTAATCGTTGTAATGCCACAATCCTTTGTCGAAGCATCGGTTGAGCTACAAGATTGAATAGGCATGGTCGATCCTCTTGTCTATCCACCCATAGATTAAATTCCTCCAAAGCATCCATCATTTTCCACCTATTCACCATAAGGGAATTGATTGCACCTCGAGATTTTCTACTCAGTGCATCCGCTACTACATTCGCCTTCCTCGGATGGTAATTGAGTGTGAAATCATAGTCTTCTAAATATTCAATCCACCTTCTTTGCCGAAGATTCAAGTCTTTCTGGGTGAATATGTAGTTGAGGCTCTTATGATCAGAAAATACTTGGAATTTTCTCTCC